ACAAATGATAGTGAGGAAAACTGGATATCCATATGCAGAAGAATGAAACTTGACCCGTTTCTCACCATATACAAAAATAAAATCAAAATGGATTAAAGACTTAAATCCAACAACTCAAATTATAGAACAACTATAAGAAAACACTGAAGAAAATATCCAGGGCACTGGTCTGGACAGAAATGTGAGTAACACCCCACAAGCACAGGCAACCAAAGCAAAAATGGAAAAATGGGATTATAGTACATTAAAAAGCCTTCTGCACAGCAAAGGAAATAATCAACAAAGTGAAGAGACAACCCAGAGAATGGGAGAAAATATCTGCAAACTACCCATATGACAAGGGAGTCATAATCAGAATATACAGGGAGTTCAAACAGCTCCACAGGAAAAAATCTAATCAGATTTAAAAATGGGCAAAAGATCTGGTACACATTTCTCTAAAGAAGACAGTTAAATGGCAAACAGGCATATAAAAAGGTGCTCAAAATCACTGATCATCAGTGAACTGCAAATCAAAACTACAATGAGATATCATGTCACCCCAGTTAAAACGGGTTTTATCCAAAAGACAGGCAATAACAAATGCTGATGAGAATGTGGAGAAAAGGGAACCCTTGTACAGTTTAGGTGGGAATGCAAATTAGTACAACCACTATGGAGAACAGTTTGGAGGTTCTTCAAAAAACTAAAAATATAGAGCTAATGTATGATCCAGCAATCCCATTGATGGATACAGACCAAAAATAAGAGGAGTCAGTATTGTCATGCGCATCCGTGTGAAGAGACCACCAAGCAGGCTTTGTGTGAGCAATAAAGCTTTTTAATCACCTGGGTGCAGGCAGGCTGAGTCCGAAAAGAGAGTCAGTGAAGGGAGATAAGGGTGGGGCCATTTTATAGGATTTGGGTAGATAAATGAAAATTACTGTCAAAGGGGGCTTGTTCTTTGGCGGGCAGGAGTGGGGGTCGCAAGGTGCTCAGTGGGGGAGTTTTTGAGCCAGGAAAAGGAATTTCACAGGATAATGTCATCACTTAAGGCAAGGACCTGCCATTTTCACTTTTTATGGTGGAATGTTGTCATCAGTTAAGGCAAGGACTGGCCATTTTTACTTCTTTTGTGGTGGAATGTCATCAGTTAAGGCAGGGCAGGGCATTTTCACTTCTTTTGTGATTCTTCAGTTACTTCAGGCCATCTGGGCATATATACGTGCAAGTCACAGGGGATGCAATGGCTTGGCTTGGGCTCAGAGGCCTGAGAAGTATACTACAGAGATAGCTGCACGCTCAAGTTGCAGCACTCTTCACTGTTGGGGAAAATTCACCCCCAATAATTCATGTAGGTTCTTTTCTATGTCCATAAGTGTCACCTCATCTGAGAAATAAACAGAAAGAGTACAAAAGAGAGAAATTTTAAAGTTGGGTGTCCGGGGGAGACATCACATGTCGGCAGGTTCTGTGATGCTCCCTGAGTTGTAAAACCAGCAAGTTTTTATTAGCAATTTTCAAAGGGGAGGGGAGCACACGAATAGGGTGTGGGTCACAGAGACCACATGCTTTAAGGGCAACAAAAGATCATAAGGTCAGGGTGAAACTAGAATCACATGAACTTCCATGTCCAGCTGTGCACACATTGTCATTGATAAACAAGGTTCAAGAGCAGAGAACTGGTCTGACTAGAATTTGCCAGGCTGGAATTTCCTAATCAATAGCAAGCCTGGGGGCGCTGCAGGAGACTAGGGTGTATTTCATCCCTATTTACATCTGCATAAGGCAGGCACCCCCAGAGCAGCCATTCAGAGACCTCCTCTGGGAATGCATTCTTTTCCCAGGGCTGTTAATTAATATTCCTTACTGGGGAAAGAATTCAGTGATATATTTATCTTACCCATTTTTTGGTAATAAGATAAATATGGCTCTGTTCTGCCTGGCCCACAGACAGACTTTAATCTCCCTTGTTCCCTGAAAATCGCTGTTATCCTGTTCTTAAGGTGCTCAGATTTCATATTGTTCAAATACACATGCTCTACAAACAACTTGTGCAGTTAACACAATCATCACAGGGTCCTGAGGTGACATTCATCTTCAGCTTACGAAGATGATGGGATTAAGAGATTAAAGACAGGCATAGGAAATCACAAGAGTATTGATTGGGGAAGGGATAAATGTCCATGAAATCTTCACAATTTATGTTCTTCAGCTATGGCTTCAGTCAGTCCCTCCATTCGGGATCCCCGACTTCCCGCAGCAAGTCACAATACCAAAGTTATGGAATCAGCCTAAGTGTCCATCAATAGATGAATGGATAAAGAAAATGTGGTATACAATAAAGTACTATTTAGATATAAAAAAGAATGAGATCCTGTCATTTGCAACAACATGGATAGAACTGGAAGTCAGTATGTTAAGTGAAATAAGGAATGAACAATACCTAGTATTTCATAGCACAAGGTGACTATAGTCAGTGACTGTACATTTTAAAGTAACTAAGTATAACTGGATTGTTTGTAACACAAAAGATAAATGTTTGAGGGGATGGATAGCCCATTTTCCATGAGATGATTATTACACCTTGCATGCCTGTATTAAAATTATCTCATGTACCCCATAAATATATACATCTATGTACTCACAAAAATTAAAAATTTTTAAATGAGATTTAGGTTGGTGTTAGTGATTTAGGAGTAGAGCTAATATTTGAAGCAACAGACATGTAATCTGAGAGTCCTGAGGATGAAATCCCCGAGAACATCATATTTTTAAAGTGGGGGTGGGGAGAAAATTTATAATCTAAAGGAGAATTAGGCAGTATAAAAAGCAGAAATGATTTAAAAGCAGAAGACAGTAACACTATCAAATCTTCAACATATCAATCTTACAGTGATTAATATCCCATTGATTTTGGCAAGTGAGTGGTTACCCTGGCTAGAGCAGCAGATGAAGTAAAAGAAAAAGGAGACATGGAAGGTACTACTCAGTGGCTGGCTGAAGCGAAGGATCACAGCAACTAGGCAGTCTGTAATGGAAATAAAAGCACTAGTAGAATGACATTGAAGGTGCCAAGTAGTCAAAGGACTGATAAGTTTATGTATCAGTTTACTGTTAAAGATCACTCCCTATTTCCCAAACTTTTAGTTTACAAACTTGTTGTCCCAGTATTTGCACAGTGTATCTAAGCAAAACAGCAAACAAAACTTAGTTTTGTTTATTAAGTAGTCCAAACAACTTATCTATGCCATAACAATTTAGCACCTGTTGGACACTATGCAACTTACACTGTAATCATACTGACCGACACTACCTACATTTTCTGTTACTCATCTTCTGTGATATTTGCATTTTTATCATGGTAACCACTAAGAGCCCAGCTTCACAAAGATCTGTCATTAAAAAGAATGGCAATATAGCTGTAAAAGTGAAAAACCTTGCATAGTAATGTGTGTGGTGTCCAGCAAATACAAACGTGGCTGTGACTTCCTCAAAGTTAAAATATCCTGCAGCACCCCTGAGTTCTCTGTGATGCCCAGGAAATCTCAGTTTATAATTTGGGAACCATAGCCCTAGTCTTGCTTTTATTTTTCTCAATAATACTTATCACCTTACATATTTTATTTCTCTCCTTTAGAATGTGAGTTCCATGGTGGTAGTAGACTTTTTGTCTTTGATAAGTGCTGTATCCCTAGTCCCTAGAGTGACATCTGGAAAATGCAGGCTTTTAGTAAGTATCTGTGGAATGAATTGTGTGGTGGGAGTAAGAAACTGATTATATTGTTAACAGACAGTGGCAAAAGCACAGGATATTTAAATTCATAATTTCAGATGCAGAACAGTTCTGAACAGAGTGAAGGTTTAAGTGTAGCCATGGCATGAGTGAGTGATTGAATGAGTGAAAGTGAATAATGCCAGATAACTCTCAGTCTACTCGATAAGTAAACGACATAAATACTAAGTCACCAAAATAATGGCAAGATTTGAGGTAAGTCAAGTGCCAATGAACAGAAGGGAAGTATACCCTAAAAGAAAGCCACAGAGGGAAGAGTTCTTAAGCGAGGGTGGCAGAGTGATGGGTTGAAAGGGACAATAGGATGGGTCTCTTGTAAAGTGGGAGTTGTGGCCCAGTTTACAAGACTACAGTGAAGCAGTGTCTTCATAATTATTAGGTTTCTATTAGGCAAGATGAAAAGGATAATGCTGTAAAGAGTTTGCAGATGTATTTGTTCATTATGAAAGAGGGCTCCTGAATGCACAACTAGATTTTAACCTTCTTGAGGGCAGGAGCTTTGTCTTATCCCTGAAGCCTGTTATAACACAGACAGTAGAATAATTGATTATCTTTCTCAATGAGAAAGACCAACAGATCAGACTGACTCAAAAAAAAGCAGCTATATACAAAGAGAGAACACATGAGACACCAAACCAGATAAAACAAGTATCAGTTTCTAAAGAGATGACATAAATTGCAAGTGCATCTAAAAAAATGACCATTTCAGAATCTTGCAGTAAGCCTCCATAACAGTCTTAGTCTCCTTGGGCTGCTATAACAAATTACCATAAACTGGGTGGCTTATAGATAGAAATCTGTTTCTCATGTTTTGGAGACCGCAAAGTACGAGATCAGGGCACCAGCAGATTCAGTGTCTGATGAGGGGCCATGTTTGCTTTAACATCTTCTCACTGTATCCTCATATGGTAGAAGGGGCAAGAGATCTCTCTGGGGCTTTGTTTTATAGGCCAACAATCCCATTCATAAGGACTCTACCACCTAATAGTATCACACTGGGAATCAGGTTTCAGTAACTAAAGATATAAGTCATTTGGCATATTTTTTAAAATACACATTTCATGTTGTAAATGGGGTTACCATTTTTTAAATGTAAGATCTTAGGGAAGTTTCTTATAGTTAAGTTGATTTGTAATGTCCTCAACTATTAGCTGATAAATCACAGTCTCAAGGTAGCTACACATTATTTCAGGGGTTGTTATTAACAAACAAACACTGGAGGAAATGTATTAGACTTTGTATAGTCTATTATACAAATGATAGTAAAACAGTGAATTTTAAAGCTTCTCCCTAACCTTTCACTGTGAATGAACAGTGATGCAGGGAGAAGAGACATTCAGAAGAAAAATCATGTATGTATTATTAAAGTAGAAGTGATGAGAAATGTTCAAAATGATAATGTATTTAAAAAAATAACCTTGTTGGAATTCTGTATCATTATCACAACATACTTACTTGATGAAGCTAAAGAAAAGACAGAAGGCTAATATGGTTGGATGAGAATAGCGTTTTAAAATGTTTTCAGCAAAATTCTAGAAATTTGTCCATTTTAGATCCATTATTTCCCGTTTAGTTCCAAAATCGAATTTCATACAGCAAGGGCTATTATTCCAATAATTTTTTCAATTGTCACTAGTGATCTTGATTCATCTATTGTTGCATTCATAATATCCAAAATAAGAGAATATTTCATTAATAACAGGCATTTTCAAAGCTTAAATAATACATTTCAAAAACCAATGACAGTTAAAGTAAGGGTTCTCAATGTTTGCATATCTTGTTAAGTTTTGTCGTATGAACTAAAATTTTGGTTTTGTAGACTCAGAAATACTAAATTGCCTATTGGGTTTTGTGGCTTCTTGCATCAGCTCCTGCAACTGTCCAATCTGTTCATCACGAAAGTCATTAAGTTTTTCTTCTGGGAGGAAGGTGCCAAAACATGCTTTTCCAGTTGAATTTTGTCTGTTTTCGTTAGCTTGTTGCGATAACACTGTTGCATACACCTAAAAAGATAAGGAATGAATGTTATAGATGTAAAGTTTAAATAATATTTAACATTAGAGGACCTGAAGTCTAATTCTTAGTCACCTATTTTTCCTCATCACTAAATGTAGAAGCATTTGGTTAGGAAAATATAAATATAGTTGTGAAGATACAATTCATTGATAATTTCATATATTTCTATTTTTAGCACTTTAAACGTTTTAATCAACTTTTAGCAAAATGTTTAACCTGGACATAAGTAAAGAGTGGTGAGTCCACGGATGGGCTTCAGGAGCATGCATAAACCACCTCAAACCATATTTACACAAGTATGGACATCATTTCTGGGGCCATAGCTTTCAATAGATTCTCAAACAGGAACCATGGGTCTTTTTCCCCCCAATTTTTATTTTAAACCTGCACATGTACCCCCTAGATACAAGGGGTACATGTGCAGGTTTCTTACATGGGAATAATTGCGTGATGCTGAAGTTTTGGGCACAGATCCTGTCACCCAGAGAGTAAGCCCAGTACCCAACAGGTAGTTTTTCAACCCATACCTCCCTCCAGTAGTCCATGCTGTCAGTTGTTCCCTATTTACATCCATGTGTGCTCAATGTTTAGCTCCCACTTAAAATTTTATTTTTCTGTTCCTGTGTCAATTTGCTTAGGATTATGGCATCTATGCTGCTGCAAAGGACATGCTTTCATCCTATTTATGTCAGCACAGTATTCTACTGTGACATGTAATACATCTTCAAGTGAGTCTAAATTCATTCCTATGTCTTCAATTACCACTTTAATTCAAAACATACTAGAGAGAAACTTCTTAAACCTTTAAGCCTTCAATATTCAACAACCATCTGTGTCAAGAAAAACTAAGTACATTCAGCCTAATATTCCAACTATCCCCATCTGCACAAGTGCCACTGTTTTGAAACAGACTCACTCTAAAATTAATCTTTTAATTAGACAAAGTACCAGTGTATTTTAGTTCATGAAGTTAAAGTGAATGAACTGGCTAACTCTGGATAATGCTGCTACCTAATCTGGCTTGAGGTATCTAAATTGCTTGTAATTGCTGGAACGGCAGCATAGACAGAGCAACTTTAATTCCAAACATTCCAAACCTATGGAGAAAATATTTTTCCATGATTTACAGAAATCCACTTATTAAGACAAAAACACCTCAAGTTTTATCAATTCCACTTCTATATGCTTCAGAGCAAGCAGGATTTTTCAACCTTGGCACTATTTTGTGTGTGTTGGGGGGTAGGGGTAGGGATGGGTCGGTGGGAGTCTGCATAGTAGGATGTTTAGTAGCATCTCTCGTCTCTGACCACCAGATGGCAGTAACGCCCCCTCCCAGTCTTGATAATCTAAAATGTCTCCAAACACGTGAACAAGTATCATGCACAAGAACGTTCATTGTTAAAAGCAAAACAAAATAAAAAAATGGAAACAATTGTACTTCAATAGGAGAAAAGTCAAATACACTGAAATTTACTCAGATGATTAATAAAGTCACAACAAATAAGCTATAAGTCTATGTATCAACATGGATGAATCTCCAAAAAATAAAATCTAAAAAGCAGGCTTTAAGAAAGTATTCATTTGCAAAAATGGAAAAGTTGATAAAGTAAGGAACTCTAAATAGCAAAAACAATCTTGAACAAGAACAAAATTAGAGGACTCACAACTCCCAATTTCAAAACTTAACTAGAAAGTTACATTAAACAAAACAGTGTGGTACTGGCATTAGAACAGACATGTAACACCAATAGAATGGAGAGTCCAGAATTAAATCCTTACATGTATAGCCAACTGGTTTTTGACAAAGATGGTAAATCCATTCAATGGAGGAAAGAATAGTCTGGTCAACAACTGGTGCTGGGAAAACTAAATTTCCACATGCAAAAGAGTGAAGTTGGACCCCCATCTTCTACCATACACAAAAAAAACCGCAAGAGTTAAAATCATGAGAATCCTAGAAGAAGACATATAGGTAAATCTTTATGACCTTTGACTTGGCAATAGGTTCTTAGATATGACACCAAAAAGCCCAAGCAACAACAACAATAGATAAATTGGATAGTATCAAAATTAAATACTTTGGTGCATCAAAGGACACTTGAGTGAAAAGACAAACTACAGAATGAGAAAAAAATTGCAAATCATATCTGAAAAGGGTTTATTATCTAGAATATATAAAGAACCACAACTAAAAGACAAATAGCCCAATGTAAAAATGGGTAAAGTGTATGAATAGACATTTCTCCAAAAAAGATATAGATGGCCAAGTACATGAAAAGATGCTCAAAATCATTCGTCATTAGAAAAGTGTAAATCAAAACCACAATGAGATGCCACTTCACACCAAGATGTCTACTATAATTTTTTAAACCCCAGAAAAATAACAGTTGTTGGCAAGGCTATGAATAAACTGGAATCCTCATACATTGATAATGAGAATATAAAATGGCATAGCCACTGCAGAAAAGATTGGCAGTTCCTCAGAAAGTTAAACAGAATTACCGTATGATCCAGCAAATGCACTCATAGGTATATACCAAAATAACTGAGAGCAGGAACTCAAACACATACTTGTATACCCATGTTCACAGCAGCAATATTCACAAATAGATGACATTCAGAAAATAACCTAGATGTCCACCAGCAAGTAGATAAACAAAATGTGGTATAGATATACAGTAGAGTATTTATCACTCTTAGAATGAAGTTCTGATCCATACAACATGGGTAAACCTTGAAAACATTATGCTAAGAAGCCAAACATAAAAAGACATTGTATGATTCCACTTACATGAAATATCTAGAATAGGCAAATTCATAAAAGAATGGAGAATACTAAGGGCTGGGAGGAGGTAGGAGAGGGTGTTATTTAATGGCCACCAAGTTTCCGTTTGGGTGAGGAAAAATCTAGAATAATGTCTCTACAATGTATCATTTACAGTGTCCAGGAAAAAAATTCAAAATTATTACAAACAGTCAAGACAAAGGGCAATCAATGCAGACCAGTGCCTGAGATTATTCAGACATTAGAATTAGCAGAAACAGATTTTAAAGCAGGTACTATAAATGTACGTAAAAGACAATATGGTAATCATAAATGGGCAGATAAATCTCAGCAGAGAATGAGGAATTGTAAGAACCAAATAAATTCGAGAACTCAAAAATGCAATAACTGGAATTTTTTAAGTGTCACTTAATAGTAGACTGGAGATGAAGGGAAGATTCATGAACTTAAAAATACAGCAACAGAAATTATTCAGTTTTAAACAATGCCAAAAGATTTATCATAAGTTTAAGTGGAATCCAAGAAAAGAGGTAACTAACTACCTTAGAAGAAAAATAAATTTTAATGGATATCTTTTTTTTTTTTTTGAGATGGAGTCTTGCTCTGTTACCCAGGTTGGAGCGCAGAGGTGCGATCTCCGCTCACTGCAAGCTCCGCCTCCTGGCCTCAGCCTCCCAAGTAGCTGGGACTACAGGCGCCCGCCATCATGCCCAGCTAATTTTTTTTGTATTTTTAGTAGAGACGGGGTTTCACCGTGTTAGCTAGGATGGTCTCGATCTCCTGACCTCATGATCCACCTGCCTCGGCCTCCCAAAGTGCTGGGATTACAGGCATGAGCCACTGTGCCCAGCCAGGTATCTTATTTTTATAAATTTTTATGAATTTTTATGAATTTTAATGAGTATTTTAAGGAAACATAAATTCAAGAAGCTTAGCAAGTTCCAAGGAGAATACAAAATACTATACCTAAGCATATGATAGTTAAATTGTTGAAAAATAAAGCAAAAATTTTTTTAAAAGTTAAAAAAATATATATATCATTTACAAATATACGGAAATGTACAAAACATAAAAACAAGCATGGAAACAACCAACATCAGGATCCTGATTACCTCTGAGGAGTAAAAAGGGGGAATGCAATTTTAGCTGTACTTTTAATATTATTTACTTTCAAAAAGTGATCTAAATATTTCAAAATATTAATATTTGTTAAATCTGAGTGGTGAATACATAACTTTCCCATTTTTGAAAATTTTTATAACTATATAATTTCAGAGAACATTTCACTTAGGGTATAATTTATAATAATTATGGGAATAATGTTTCTTATGGAAAGTAGAAATACATTTCATGTTTGAGAAATGATCAATGAATGAACATCTTGGGTTCTAGAAAGACTGTCACGAAAAGGAAACAGAAAAAAATCCCAACCGTCCCCCTGTATACCACCCATTTACCTACTAGTCTTTGACTCCATGTACTTGCAACAGTATTCCTTTCCTGGCAAGACAGAAGAATGGCCAAAATAAAAATAACTTCAGGACCACAATTTGGAGGTGGTCCAGACATAGGTAAGCAGCAGCAATAAAATGTGAATTTATGACTAGGTCACCCTGCCAAGCATATCTACCTAGAGGGAAGAGACTCAGAACAGAAAAATACTACACTACACATTAACAGCATCCTTTGGTTTCAAACTGTTAACATGCTGGCTTCTAGGAATAAAGCTATCCTGAAAGTTAGAAGATTCCTATGATTGCTCTCTTGAACCAAAGAGAATGTGCAGTGCTTCCTCAGGATAAGTTAAGCAGCTGCTTTAAGTAGCACAAAGCCATCGAAGAGAAACACTTTGAGTATGGTGAGAGCAGGTGCAGTGGGCTGAATGGTGTCCCCAAAAGATGTCAAGTCCTAATCTTTGGAACTGTGTTACCTTATATGTATATTACAGGTTTTGCAAGTGTGATTAAGGATTCTGAGATGAGATTATACTGATGGTCCCGAAAAGTATTCTTAGAGGGGATGATAAATTAGGCATACAGAGGAGAACTTGATATGAAGAAAAAATCAGTTTGGAGTGATATGGCCATAATTCAAGGGAATCCTGGATCCACCAGAAGCTAAAAGATGTGGATTTCTTCCCTAGAGCCTCTCACTCTTTAATTAGGGCTCTCCAGAATATGCTACCATTGTTTTAAGTCAGGC